TATATAAAAAGACTAATAATAGTGTGTTATGCATCAATAGCAGCAACAGCTTTTCCAGGTTCTGCAGTGATCAGAACAAAATTATAGACATTCAACACATTCCATTAAAAAAAAAAACAAAGAAAAGAATAATATCCAGATAACAACAAAGTTCTGTTGCTGTTGTGGTACCTGGCACCATTTTTTCTATTAGCCTCTTAATCATCATCTGGAAAGAGAACATTCTAGAGTAATAATATCATTAAATGTAGCTCTGATAAAGCATGGTCCCTACTATGTATCATAAAGCAGGTACTAGATATTTTACATTCATAGAGGTATGATACAGTACAGTCCTACATCAATAATACTAGATTCAGTTTTGGTTTGAAATTTACTTTGTCTGCCAATAAGATTGCTACCCCTGTTTTTTTCTGGGCTCCTGTCACATGGGGAATTGTTTTCTATCTTTTCACTTTCAGTCTCTGGGCTTCTTTTTGCACTAGGTGTGTTTCTTGTATACAACATGTTGTTGGATTTTGCTTCTTATTTCATTTTGCCAGTCTATTTCTCTTGATGGGTGAGTTGAGGCCATTGACATTGCTGGTCACAACTGCTATGTACTGACTTATTATTGACATGTTATTGGGCTTTTGTTGACTCTTTTTACTTTTTAACCTTCTTTTAATTTCTTGCCTTGCCTACTTGATTTGCTGTTGGGCCTCATGGTGTTGTTGCCTTCATTGTCTTTTTCTAGGATCTTGTTTAGAATTTCTTGTAGTGCTGGTTTGGTATTCGTGTAGTTCTTCAGGTGTTCTTTGTCTTGGAAGTATCTTACTTCCCCATCCATTTTGAAAGAGAGTTTTTCTGGATACATCAGTCTAGGTTGGAGGTTGTTCTCTTTTAGTACTTGAAATATCTCATTCCAGGCTCTCCCTGCCCTGAGGGTTTGTGTTGAAAAGTCTGCTTTGATTCTGATGGGGTTTCCTTTGTATGTGATTTGTTTCTTTTCTCTTACTGCTTGTAGTATTTTGTTCTTCTGTTGGATTTCTGGGATCTTGATTATTATATGTCTAGGTATAGATTTTTTTTGATTGTAGCTAGTTGGGGTCCTATATGCTTTAGTTATCTGAATGTCAAATTCTTCCCCTCTGTTTGGGAAGTTTTCTGTCATTAATTCTGCAAACAGCTTTTTAAAGTCATTTGTATTTTCTCCTACTACTTCATGGATTCCGATCATTCTTATGTTATTCTTCTTAGCATCATCTAGGAGTTGTTGGATCAATTTCTCATGATCTCTTACTGTTTTTAAGAGACCTCTCTTTTCATGGTCACTGACTGCAATCTTATCTTCTATATCTGAGAGTCTATCTTTGCATTCTTTTATTCTGTTGCGTACACTTTCAATAGAGTGTTTAATCTCCTGGATATCTATTTGAATCCTTTTTATGGATTCCATTTCTTTCCTATGTTGGGCATTTATTGTTTCCATTTCTTTCTTATGCTGGGCATTCATGGCTTCTATCATGGTCCTGAGCTCATCTATTTTTTTGTCAGTTTCTGCTCTAGAGTCTCGAATCACGACTTCCATTTTACTCACTATCTCTATGGTTATCTGGGAAATTATTTCTATTTTGAATTTTTCTAGAGCCTGATTGATCTGTTTTGTTACTTCCTGTGCTTTGAGTTCAGGGTGTCCTGGTGGTTCACTATCGGCCTTTTCATCCTCATTTGCCCTACTGTTTGCCATTGGTGAACTGGAGGTCTGTCCTTGTGTCTTGCTTAAGTGTTTTCTCATTTTAATTTTTGTTGTCGGACTATCCTTGGTTTAATCTCTGGATTGTCACCCAAATCTTCCTGATATGTTTGTGCCCTAGCTACTGTGTCTCTAACGACCCACAGACATTCTCATCTTCATAACATCAGAGAAAACAGCTCATCAAATCAACAGCAATGCTTTACCCCAACTGATACAATCAGCAACACATGTACATCAAGCACAATTTGGACACTGACCACCTGTGGTAGTCACTAGTCTATCACCCTTAAATCATTTGAATTAAACTGAAATCAAGAAGCAGTCCAGAACATGTCTGCAGTGAACAAAATTTCAATATAGTGAATTTACCATTTAATGGCTCAGACAGAGCGAGGATGCAAGACCCCTGATCTCAGTTAGCTGATGGCTGAACCCCCTGACGCTGACTGACCTCTGGCTGCAAGGCCCAGATTGAGTTCCCCATCGTTCTGAATGGTTGAACTCTGCAATGTTCTATTACAGGTTTCCCATGCCCTTTCTTTAAAGATGTTCAAAGTTGGGAACTCAGAAAAATACCCTTGATGACCACCTCTGTCTTTGCAGCGTGGTTCCTAAGACTGGCACGGTCAGGAGGTCTGAGAGTGTGTGTGGGGGTTATGGGGGTTCAGGGGCGCCCACTCGGCTACCTTCCCCATGAGCGATGGCTGCTAGGTCGGGAGCAGGAGTGGTTCTCCTTCCTGTGGTGGATCAGGGCCCAGGCTTCCTCCCGGCACTTGAGAGATGGCGTCTGGGTCAGGAGCAGGCCTGGTTCTGACGACCGTAGACTTTTTAGGCATCACATCTCTCTGAGGATCTGACTAAACTTTATAAAACCTGGCGATTATGTCTGTCTCTGAAAATTCTTGAAATTGCTGTAAATACTCTTGACCTCCATCTTGAAGGGGAATGAGATGAGCTAGACAAACACAGGGCTACTAAACCTTGCATTACCAGGTTTGGCAGATGCTTCCTAAGTGACTAACAAGCCCAAGTACAGATCACAGCAAGGATCTGACCTAAAGATTTAAGATAAAGAGACAGATATAAAGTGAAGACAAAGGTGTTGGACTGCCTCTTGCTTTCAGTTACTCACTTGGGGATATGGAGACCCATCTTCTAAATCATTCTTACAATTGTTCAACAAATAATGATTAGTTTGTGTTCTTAATCCCTGACAAGTCCTGAAGAGACTTATTTGTTCTCTCTATTATTACAGTAATGCACCTCTTTATGGCATCCTTCTTATCCTTATGTGCAGGTTTCCTTCGTTGGGAAATGAACATTCTCATAGATATTGTTTTTGCACCTCCAACTCTTGCTAATTGGAAAGCCAAAAATTTAATAAATGTTTACTGAATTAATGTACACATGGATGAATGCAATTTTAGCAAAGTGATGGTAAACTCAATATACCAAAGTTACTTCATGGTGCTCATACACGTAATCCTAGCACTTCAGAAGGCGGAGGAAAGAGGATCACAAATTCAAGTCCATCCTGGGCAACTTAGGAAGGCCCTGTCTCAAAAATTTTTCTGAAAGCGTTGGAAATATATATAGCTCATTGTAAAGGCTCTGGACTCAATCCCCAGTACTCCCCCACACAAAAGAATATTTTATCTCAAAATTGTTGAAAGGTTAGCTAGGCCTAGGATGGGGTCCTAGGAAGTTCCCAAAGTGGTAAGAAGCAACTCAATCCACCCTGTGCACAGAATTAAATTTTAGGTTTCCTGATTCCCATCACAGAAAAAGAATTTTCAGAAAGACATAGGCAAAAATTTAAAACTATACCCTTACAGAAACAGTGTGTGCTCTCAAGGGAGAGACACATAATGATCTAGAGCTGGGAATATGTATGGGATCTTGGGATGTCTTCAGGACGGATGATCTAGGATGTGTGCTCCTATTGTTTGTCAGGTTATGCTAGAATGCAAACACACTTGAATGCATTTGAAGTTGAAATGCATCACCCACTGATATTGCTGCCTCTTTGAGGATGGAGGTCTATGAATGAGAATGATTTACCTCGGTAAAGCATAGCCCAGAGCCCAAATTTACAGACTTATTGTGTCTTTAAGACCCTTAGGAATTTTTTTGAGTGAAATTTCCAGGAAGGGAAAAAGACTTGAGCAACTTTTGTATCCCGAAGCTACAATTTTTTCCTTAAAAGTATAATTTTAATATTCTGATTTTTCTTGTCTCCTTTCTACCAATCTTTATTTCTTCTTTTCTACATCAGGCCAAGTCAAATACTCATACTAAATTCAGTTGTGAGAGTAAAAGCAGGATAAGACTTTATCCTATTTATCCTATTTGTCTCCTATTTGGTCTTAAGTAATGACCTACCATGCAGCCTCTCAAACTTCTTAGTAGTTCAGTCTCAGAAACAGGATCTAAAGGTATAAGTAGGAAATTACTACAATGTTTTCATTTCCTGTTTTCGGTCTGTGGCTGGACAATTTAAATTCAACTTGTTGAACTTCAGTTAAGCTTATCCCACATGATGTGATTCATTTTCCTCTTTCCTCAATTGGCAGTCATTTTAGGGAGAAAAGCAAAGCGTACTCAATTGGTCTACTTAGAGCTCCATAGAACAATGGAGTATCCTTCCGATGTGGATGAAGATGGTTATACTAAATTAAACTTTCACTCTCGAGATGCTACCAGAAGACCTGTGGACTCAGAGAAAGGTATTTTTTTCTGCCTTTGCCACTCTTGTTTTCATGAAGTAAAATGCTAACAGAAAAGAAAGTATGACAGAGTAAGGATTTGTGTGTACAGGTTTTGCAACAGTCACTGCAGATTATTTGAATATGTATTGAGTCTCTCTTCATGGAAACTATTCAGTTAGATAATAAGTATTGTTATCTAAATTCATTATGCTTCATGATAGCCAATACAATTTTTTCTAGAAACAGCGAATTCATCAGTAATGAAGAGTTGATAATAAGTGCGAAGAAAATCAAAGTTGAAAGAATTTCAACAGAGGGATTCTTTGTTTGGTAGAAAGAGTCATGTGTGGGAGTGATGTCCTCGAAATTTTAGCAAGTATATGTGAAAAACATCATAAATTAGGAAATAAGAATCAGAAGACTGAGCTAGGTGTGATGGTGCATGACAGTAATACCATCACTTGAGAGACTAAGGCAGGAAGACCACTATGAATTCAAGGCCAGCCTAGCTACATAGCAAGTTCAAGGCCAGCCTGAATTACATAAGAAGAGAGACCCTGTCTCAAAAAATATATATATTAGAAGACTGAAACAATGGGAGATAGGTGAAGAAATGATTTTTGTGTTAAAGATCAAAGGGGTGCCAGCCATCAGGGTTGAGAAGCTCAAGTCTGACATGTTTTTATAGTAAGAGATTGATTTGGATTTTTTGTTGTTGATTACAAAAAGTTCTTGGCATCCAGTAAAGGGAAGTATAATGTTAGATGAAAATGCCCCATAAACAAGGACACGAGTCTTAAACAAAATGTAAACGAGAGAGACAGAGGACTTTAAAGGATCTTTCTCTTCACAGAATGAGAGATGCAGTCCCCTCGGTGAGTCTCCCTTCTATTTGACAATTCTATGAGATGCTCTCACTGTTTAGTCATCGGGAAAAACTGTGCTATGCTCTTCGTATGGTGATATTAATACAAAATCAGTTTCTCATTATCTATACAAGAGAGATGATTCACAGGTTTTGTTTTTCTGTTTGTTTGTTTTTATACCAGAGATTGAACTCAGGGCCTTGCTCTCTCAAGGCAGGAAATGGAAACACTGGGCTAAATCCCCACCCCCAATTCACAGGTTTTGAAATCAGGATTTGCTTTCTTCTGCTTTTAGCTTTTCACATTGCACAATTATTTTCCTCTTATCACCACTTACCCAATTCTTTTCTTGGGCAACTTGGTGAAAGAAGAGTAGACAGAAAGGTGAAGGAAGAGGTAGTGTTCATTAGTATTAATCTACAACATGCTTGTAATTTCTAAAGAAGGTGCTTCTACCTGTGCTAGCTCACTTATTATTTATCACAATGTTCTCTGAGATATTACCTCAATTTCACAACATTAAAAAAAAGAAATAAAAAACCCCAGAAAGTAATTTTTCCACATCATTCACTAAATGAATGCAAGGGGGAAGCTTATCCTTGATACTCAGAGCTGTTTCTGAACATAAGAAGCTGTTTTCTCTAAGAGTGAGTGGGATATCAGGGATCTGAGAGGTGTCAAGACCTACTGACATCCAGTGTGGAACTGAGGGCTTTTCTGTACTGATAATCAAACTCAGTGCCTCTTGCTTGCCAGGCAGGTATTGTTCCACTGCTCTACATCCTCAGCCCAGACCTCCTCCTCCCAGGATGCTGGGATTACAGGTGTGCCTTGCCATGCGGGCTTAAACATATATATATATATGTTTCCTTCCATTCCTACTCTTGTTCTGTTCTATGAATTCTGTCTATATTGCCAACAAAAATATGTGTAATTGGAAGCGGAAAGAACAGATAACAAGTCAGTGTTCTAACACTATAATTCCAACAACTGAAGAAGAGGAATCTTGAAGGTGGGAAAAAAGAGAAACCAGGTTGTCTAGAAGCCAGTGATGAATGAATTCCTTCAGAACGTTAACCTCACTGTGTGATTAATGTGCTCTCTGGTCCATGATTAGCTTTTCTTTCTCACTTTCTCCTCCCTTAGGCTCCCCAGCATCTCCTGTTGCAGGTTCTCCTTGGAAGCTCATAGCTGTGATTTTGGGAACCCTATGCTTGGTAATACTAGTGGTAGCCGTGGTGCTGGGTTCCCTGGGTGAGTATTTGGGAGAATTAATTACAACTATAGACATTTCATAAGCATTCATGTGTGTCCTGGACTCTCTTTCAAGGGCTTGACATGCAGGAACTAATTTATTCTGTATATTGACCTTATTTACCGAGTTGGTGCCTTTAAATCCCAGTTCACCTAGAAGTGAGAAACTGAGGTGTCATTTTATTTAGGGTCCTATACTACTTACCGGTAGAATCAGGATGAGAAATTTAGACAATCTGTCTAAAAATCTCATATTCCTAACTGTATTTTTCTACTCCCCTCCTTAAATATTTGGTTTCAAGGCTGATTTTTTTGAACGACAAATTAATGAAAGGAAAACTGTGGGGCTGGAGAAAGAAATATGATATGATGCTAATGAAGTAAATTTGCTAGAGGGGCTACAAGTTATTTGTATGAGACTAATGAGTTATACAAATTATTTTATACCTGATCATTAGCATAAGCTCTCAAATATACTAGGAATTTCCCGAGGCGATTTCTAAGTAGACATTTTGTGATGGATGAATAGATTTTCTTAGATTTTATATCTCTTGCAATAGGATTCAGTAAAGTATCACTGAGCCTTCATGACATTCCTTTATTAAACAAATGTTTGTGGTGTACACTTTGTATAAATGTCAGGGTTCAGTAATTGCACACCCTTAACCCCAGCATCAGAACATTCCAGATTCAACCACCTCTGAAGAACAAAGCCCCACTTTATCTGCATGAGGCTTTGGGGGACAGCTAAGCACAAAGCACAACAGTAAAGGAAAAGTAAAGAAGTGAAAATGTTGGCTAGAATTAGGGTACCAAATTAAAAATGTACAAAAGAGACAGACACAATGCATATTCCTGAAAACTCTGGCTAAATGTATTTAACTTGAATCACATAATTCCACTGATGTAATTGCAACTTTATATATGCGCTTTACTTCTGATCGCATCGTAATTGATTGACAATATTTTCACTTCAGTTTCTCATTGCTGTTTTCACACAGCCTCACACTTTAACCCAGTAGCTAATAATACATAGCAGAGGCACTCTGAAATATAACCTATTGCCTTTATAAGTTCATCTTTGGAATGCCATGATTTACAATGTGTCTCATCATAAAATAACTTAAGTAACATCAAATTACTCTGTACCCTGATTACTGATTTTGGATGTATTTATTTTAGGGGGTTGAAATAGAGAAAGAAAGGTCTGGGCTGAATTTGATGTAATGGAAGACAAGTCATAAAAGAAAGGATGTTACCTGTCTAAAACACTAGAACTACTCAAATAATTAAAAACAATTTTAAAAGACTAAGAGGATTTAAATTTTTCTGGAAAATAATATCCGTATAGCTTGAACTGAAAATAAAACATGCAATGACAGCTCATGGATTATTTATTAAGTGTTCATGACATGAATAGTGCTTGCTCTTAAAGAAGAAATTAGTATACGATGAACTTCACAGCTCTTGTCTTTTATGCCTAGGAGTTGTTCCCAGCACTTGTCCTCCTGATTGGATTGTGCATGAGAAGAGCTGTTACCTCCTTATCCTTTCACTAGATTCCTGGTATGGAAGTAAGAGAAGATGCTCTCAGCTGGGCTCCCATCTCCTGAAGATAGACACCTTAAAAGAATTCGTAAGTGTAGACTTCAGGCAGAGTATCTGCGGTGTAGACACTGGTCTTGTATTGAGTAGAAAAATAGAGGAGATTCCAGGTGATACAGTTTTCCCCAAGAGAAAATTATTTTCAGTGTTCTCTATAACTGCACTATTAGCAAACCTTAAACATTTCAAAGGCGTAGTATATTTAATGAATGTAATTAATTACAAATAATCATATTTCACTTTAAAGCCTTCCATGTTTACTATAACATTCAGGCTTCTGTTAATTGTTGTTGATTTGTATTTTAATTTTTGACTTTGGTGGAATACAATGGAAAACTTTCTCCTTTGTCATCAGAATTATGAAGAAAAGCTAGCGATGACAATATAAATTTATAAATCATTTGCACTTTTAAGATACTAGGAAAAGGAAAAAGGTTTATAAAGTAAACTTGCTATTCCTGGATTTACAAAAAGTTTTGTTTAAAAAAGGCAAAAGTTGTTAAAAATTGAGTATCTGATATTGATTATTTACCATTTACATGAGTATAATGATATCCCTGTGGTCATAAGAAATTTTTCATAAAAATGAAATTTACAGTGCCTCGTGAGAGAAAGATGGACCTCTGATGAGCTGTGGAAAGGATAACACAAAGCATTTCAAATTATAAATCTGAGCTAATTTGTTACTTCTACATCTACATTCACTGCTCTCCACTTTTTGTTTCTATAATGTCATACCAAACATTTGCAGTTCACACTAATGTTAATGCATCGGAAGAGGCAGATATATGGCAGATTTCTAGAAATCTATTAGGCCTGTTGAGAAGCCTATAGTTAGTTATCAATAAATCATCTTAAATTGGGCAACAATTCAAATACCTTTATTGAAATCCAGATTATTTATAAAATGTGTGAGACTGAATTAATTTTAAGGTGCTAACCAATTCGGAAAGGCATTTCTGGGAAAGGCCAACTTTAATTTATATTTTTAATGTGAATTTAATAATGGCCTATCAACCACAATATCTACCCAGAGATCCTATCATGTTGGGTTCATTGAACAGAGGCAGCACATGGATGTGATAAATCTATTTATAACTGATATTGTCAATCTGTGCTTTGTGGGAAAATTAAATGACAATGACATTCTATTATTGGTAGTGCTGTCTAGGTTATTTTCAGTTTACACACACATTGTCCACCGAAGCATACAGTCAGTTGTCTATGATAATATTTCTCTTTTTCTCTGATGTTTACTTATATTTTATTCCCCTAAAGGATTTTATAGTAGGACAAATGTCTTCCTATCCTATTAATTCTTTCTGGATAGGACTTTCTCGCAAGCAGACTGAGGAATTATGGCTCTGGGATGATGGATCAACTTTCTCTTATAACTTGTAAGTACTTGCAAAGTCAAAACTTTCTCAGAGAGATTAAAAACATGGCATGCAGTTAAGAACCTGATTTACTGACCAAGTGAGAAAAAGAGAAAGACTCATTGAGAGGTGGTGGGTGGGTGGAGAACAGGGTTGAAGAGGTTTATGGAGTGGAAGGGTAGTCATTAGTGTGACTGACTTAGGTGTCTCTTTGGCTGCTGTGCAGGAGGGCATCTGGCATCTGTTTGAAATTGTTCAGCTCAGGAGCAGACTCAGTGTGGCACAGGGAATTAAGAGCATGGGCTTCAGCCGTGACACTGAGCAAATCATGTGACTTCTCTTGAGTCTCACTTTCCATACCCATAAGTGAGAACATAAAGAGTTTCTACCACTGAGAACTGGGAGAATAAGGGTATAATAAAACTAAAATCATTAGCATGGTATCTTACACATAATATGTGAAACTATTATCATTAAGCTAACAGCAGCACCTCTCATTTTATAAAGTTTTAAAAGATATTTCACATCTGTACGATCATGAATGGTTCCTCCTTGTGTGTTGAAGTCTTTCTCATTTCAATTGGCATTTATTTTCTTGTTAATATCCAGAAAATATGAAATTACAACCTCCTTTTATTTATTTTTATTTGGGGGAGGTTGAGACACGGTCTCATTATGTAGTGGAGACTGCTCTGGAATTCACTGTGTAGCCCAGGCTGGTCTCGAACTTGCAGTGATTCTCCTGCCTCAGTCTGCCGAGTGCTGAGATTACAGGCATGCGCCACCATGCCCGGCCTACAGCCTCCTTTCAAATCCCCATCACTGATGTGTATTCCAATATGTGTGTGTGTATCTACATTCTTCTCCTTAATCTCATTAGGCATATGGTTCAATTTAATCCCCTTCAATAAAACCCCACAACTTTTGACTTTGCTGATTCTCTTGTTTTATCATTTCTTTCATTCATTTTGATTCTCCTCTTTATTACTCCATTTTATTTAATTGTGTGTGTGTTCAATTTGCCACTCTTGAACTTCTTGTGTTGGATGTTTGATTCATGAACTTCAGGCTTTCTTTTCCTGCAGTTAAGACTATGTCATTTTAATGTATTTTCATTGTTATGAAGTTCAAAATGACTTCTGATTTTCATCGTAACCACAAGGTAAACTCTGTGATCAAAAGAATAAACTGCACTTCATAGTATTTCTGTCATTTTATGGGTTTTCTTCTCCCACACAAGAGAACTGTTCTGTAAACATTTAATATAATACATAGAAACTATATTATTAGGAACATGTGGGTTTAGAATTGTGTCTCTCCATTCAGTGTTACATTTTCTTTCCTTTCCTTTGTGGGGGGACTGATTTAATGCTTTTTTTATTTGTTTGTTTTTTGTTTGTTTGTTTGTCTGTTTTTTGAGACAGGGTCTCACTATGTAGTTGAGACTGACCTGGAACTCACTATGTAGCCCAGGCTGGTCTCGAACTCACAGCAATCCTCCTGCCTCAGCCTCCCGAGTGCTGGGATTACAGGTGTGCGCCACCACGCCCGGCTAATGCTTTTTTTAAAATTTTGCTTTGCTTTCTTCTCTTCATTTGAAGTTCTTTTACTAACTATGTGGTAGCTTCCTTAGTAATCACAGCATATATTCGTCACTTACCAAAGTCTAATGTTTTTGTATTTCAAAGATTAATATCACTGGGGATTTGGCTCAGTGGTTCTGCCACCATCCTTGCAATCGCAAGGGCCAGAGTTTGATCCCTGGTACCAAAAAATAGTAATAATAAATAAATAAAATACAATGGAAATCCTCAAAGTTTAATATCAGCTGCAGTTTTTGTAATGTCAATATAAAATTCTTATTTTATTTGTCAATGATCAATGTAAAATTCTTAGAGCATTCTGTTTAGCTCCTCCCTGGTTCTTTTGTTATTATAGATGTGTATTTTAAGGCTATTGAACACACCATTTCCACAATTTACTACCTGTGAAAGTAATATACGTCTTATGATGGCCTTTTGTAATCACTGTGGAAGAACTGCAGCTGAGCTCTGTCACTAGCATTGCTTCTGCCAAACAGGGGCCACATACATCTGTAGTTACTTTAAATTAAATGCCCCACTTGGGTTCTTGTAGAAGGTAAAGATCTGTACTTGTCATTCCAGCTTCTCAAGGGACCTTTCCTTCCCATCTTCACTTGGTAGCAAGACCAAGGCATCAACATTTCCTTATTCTTTTCTCTTTGGCAATTTTATTTCTCATTTACTCCTGCAACAAAATAACCCTTTGGTTTTTAGCTTTGCATTGTCTTATATTCCTCATCTTGGATAAATCTAGTATCACAGAATTAGACTGAATTACTGGTACACTCTATAATTGATGTCCTCTTTGATTCAACAAAATATAGCTTCCCTGGAGATAGATATACAGCTATCTCTATAAGTGTATATGTGAAGATGTCTCTGCAGTTAGTGTTCATTTTCATTTGCTCACATGTCTATATTTTAATTGTTTCTTATTACTTCCTAACTCTTATACCTTATATTTTAGTCTTTTGTCTTAAACTGAAGGACACACCTTAATATTTCTTCTTGAGAACATCTGTTGCAGCTGGATTATTTGTGGTGGTGCACACCATTAATCCCAGCACTCTGGGAGGCTGAGTGGGAAGATTGCAAGTTCAACCTGAGCCTGTGCAAATTAGTGACTTAAAAAAAATGTTTTAAAGGTGGGGTATGTAGCTCAGTGTGAAGGCCCAGGGGTCTATCCTTAGTACCATAAAAAAAACCAAAAAACAAAAAACAAAATATATGTCAATTTGACTTTTGTAAAAAATTTTCATTGAGTTTAGGATTAGAGGCTTGGGGGTCCTTGTTTCAGCCATTTGAAGATGTTATCCTACTATTGTCTGGTTTTTATTGTTGTTTTTAAAAGATTGTCTGAAGGTGATATATGTTTAAAATATATCTCATATATCTTGTGATCTATTTTTCTTCCTCAGTGGCTAATTTGCTCTTACCATTCTCCATTTTTTATTTTTTGGTACCGGGGATTGAACTTGGGTCCTTGTGCTTGCGAGGCAGGCTGCTGAACCATTGAGCCAAATCCCTGGCCCACCATTCTCCATTTTTTTTTCCAGCTTTAATTGAGTTTATTGGTACATTTTAGGGATACAGTACAGTTGCATTCATTGTTGGGATCTTGTACCTCTACATGACAAGTCTTGATTCTCATTTTTTCCCCTTACCTCTGCCCTCCCTTCACCCCCTCCTCCCCTCCCTATCTACAAACACTTTATTTTCATCTTTTCATTCTCTCACATTTTTTTCTTTTTTTAAAAAATATTTTGAATGATTATTTCCAGTTCTGCGATTTTAGTTGTCGTTCCCAAACCTATCCTGTTATCATTTATAATTCCCCTTTTTCTTCCTCTACTCTCAATATTACTTTTTGACATCTATGATTCTTCGTTTAGTTCTAGATTCCCTTTAGCATTAACTCTTCTTTCCAGTTGGTTGACTCATTAAATATACCCAGTAGTAATTTCACTAAACTCTTACTTGATTTGATAAATGGACATCTTGGTAATAGACCAAAAGGTAAATAAACAAACTTTATATAAAATATTCAGTAGGGTTTTCTTCTCTGTCAGGGGGTTAATTTAATTTTATGCAACTAGTAGTATTTCCTGAAAATACTGAGTTAATTATGGAGTCAATTCTGTTAGCACTTGTGAATTAATACAATCTAAATTCAGATTCCTTTTTCAGTAATATAGACACTTCAAAATTCTTTTCACTGGTAGTTTCATTTCAACTCTGTGTGACCAGTATTTCTTCTGTTGTTCTAATTACATCACCATATTTTATTTTACCAGGTTTCAAATCAGAAGCACAGCTACCCAGGAAAACACAACTCACAACTGTGTGTGGATTCATATGGGAAATGCTTATGACCAAGCCTGTAATATTCCCTCCTTCAGTATTTGCGAAAAGTTGCTGTCAGGGTGAAGGGAGGAAGGAGAAAAGTATCTGAGATCATAAGGATGACAAAACAACAACAAAAACAACAACAACAACAAAAAGAGTGGTATTTGAGGGCAATTAAAGTAAGGAAATGAAAGTGTTGACCACTTAGCAAACTTTAATCTTAGCTGAGAAATAGGATGAAAGGCTGTGTGATTTCTTGTCAAGCCCACTGCAAAGTTAACATTAAGTTATAATAGATAGAATCCTGGATGTGGAGTTAGGGGACTATTGTTCTTAGAGATGCAGAAATAAGACAACAAAGACCAAGGAAATCTCTGAGATCTGGGCCAGAGCTCATGCATGTGAGAACTCATAGCTGGATCTTCTGTAACCTTTTTCCCACGTCAACATCCTTAAAGCCTCACAATCATGGACTGCATGTCACGTATATAATTTAATCAGTGTGGATATGGACATGAACGCATATTGAAAGCCCTTGAAAATGACTCAGGGCCCCATCAATCAATCCTGTCAATCTTATCCAGAAATCTGATGAGAGGTACTTGGCCTTGGGCACACAGCTTTTAAAATCCAAATGCCCAGTTTCATCGCAACGCCACTTTTTGGTCATGCCTGTCTTAGCACATTTTCCCATTCTCTTCAATAAATTTCGCTACATTTTCTGTTACCAGGGGAAGTATACTTTTAATTCTTTGCTAGCTGTACGCAAGAGCTTGGAGTCTATCTGTTGGATCCACTTTGTGGTATCAGTACTATTAATACAGGACTGTGCGGATTTCTGTATTGCTGAGAGGCAGTTGTATAACTTTCTTGTGTTTGTTAATATATGTAAAGAAATTGTGCAAAAATCACTGAATCGTTCACTATAAATGGTTAATTTTAGGTTGTGTCGGTTCTACCTCAATGTAAAGAAAATGCTTGTTAAAGAACCTTTGGCCTCTAAATTACATGTCTGCCCATGAGAATCATTGTCATAATTTGACCTCTTCCCCAAAGTGTAGACGAGTTTGATACTAGGTAGGGCATATAAATGGTAGTTCTGAATTAAAGCACAAATTTGAACTTTGAAAGATAAAAAAAAACTATGTAAGACAATAGATTTTTGTGACATTTACTATCATCTCTTAAAATGTATTATGATTTGGGTCTAGATGTCCCCTCAAAGTCTCATGGGGTCATAGGTGGGTGAATCTAGAGTGTGGTGCAGGATTGAGGGAGTGTGATTACTGAACCACTACCTATCAGCCTTTGGTTTGGCACCGCCCTCATCCCGTTGGTCTGAATGAGATAAAAGGAGCAGAAAGACACTCTTACAGGCCCTTGTTGCTTTTGCTGCTTTCTGTTCGTACCCTGCTTCTCCTCTGTGATGCCTGTTTGCCATCCCTGCCTTGGAGCCAACCAATTATGGACTGAAACCTCTGAGAACTGTAAGTCAAATAAACCTCTTCCCCTCTAACTTTGGGTGTCGGGTATTTTGTCTCAGCAACGAGAGAAAAGTAACATAATATGCAAATTGGTTTTGCCACTGTCTAAGGAAAGAAGTAGAGAGGGTAAAGATAATTCAGTGGGACAGTATAAGAAGTAAAATTAACTAATTAGGTATTAAGCATTTAATTAAAGCCCAAGATAGGATTTTGAAGAAACTCCAAGTATTTTAATTTTGGTTTTGGTTGGATTAATTTCTCCTGATTTCTCAGGATGAAATGTTTGTTTGAAAAATCATTATAAGCAAGGAAAATAATTCTGGATACTGAAAATTAATCTGAATTTACCCGGAAGAGACAGGACAGCCAATAATTACGACAAAGAGGTAAAGGCTTGACTGTCACCAAAGTGATGCTATAAAGTTAGATTGCTCTAGGCCATCCAAAATATTTTATTTCTCACCTGTTGACACATAATTTATGTTGCAAATAACACGGAAATGTACATATGAATGAAAGGAGACATTTATGTTTTTCCATGAGACAGAGAAGAGGAAAGAGCTGCTGGCTGAACCCAAGTCTAGGATTGGGTTCAAGATGAGTAGCGATTATATTAGAGAGAATGCCTTTGCTTGCCTGTGTTACAGCAGTAATTTTTGAAGTTGTCTTCTAGTCTTCATTCTTGTTATGCTACAGCAAATTTTCAAACATAAATTTAAATCAAATTATTCATTTCCTTACTTAAAATTCTCTTTGACTTATATGTTTCATATTAATAACAACAAGCATAATAAATAAATACTTTTAGGACCATCCATAATATATTACCCACTGCAATTCCCTCTGGTTCTCTGAGCTACCTTCTGTTTCTCTACTCTTATTTGTTCCATCGAGGATGCTGGCTTTTCTGTGGCTTCTCAGCCACTTCAGGCATGCCTGTCCCTCAAGGGCTTTGTGATTCCCGTTCTAGTGGAGACCAGAAACTAAAGAAACAAAGGGCAAAGGCCTGAGTACGCTAAAGTCAAAGTGCAATAAACTGCAAGAGAAATTAGAGTGCAGAAGACAGAAAATGGACGGAACCCACTGGTGACAGGAAGCCTGGCAAACAGCAACGAGCAGCATCAAGCAGGAGCATTTTTGCACGTCCTCTGTCCGTGTGTCCTCCCTTTTGCTCCTTAGGTGTTCTTCTTGACCCTCTGGTCTAGCAAGGGCTTTTCTTTGTTCTAACAAATCACATCGGATACTGCTGCCCACTGCTTGCTGCACTGCATCCCCTCCTTCATTGTTTCAGAACAGGAACCCGAAGGGAGGGAGCTGGTTACATCTTTGGCACCAAATATGGGGCTCATCTTCTCCATGCAGAGGTCAGTGTGGCAGGGCCAGACCACACACCGACTCTCTCTGTCCCTTTGTACAAATCTAAGGAGCAGTGGGTACTTTGCCAGCCAGTTAAAAGCTAATTAGAGTAGGTACCACTCTTGATGCAAAGAATAGGTTCCCTAGCGCCTCCTGGTTAATCCCTCCACTGAAAAGACTGGGAATGTTAGCCAGACGGGGGAGCTGGATTCCTTCGCAGAGACAGGTCTCTCATTGCACGGAGCTATGAAAGCTGGAAAAGCAACTGCAAGACCCTGGCCAGGGCTACTCCCCAGGGGGTACTCAAAGGCCACTGTGGAAGCTGGGTCCTGATATCCCAGGGTATGCAGCAGAGAAATCTCCACATGTCTAACATCCCTCCTGCGCTCCTCTGTGAGGGGAGAGGTAGACTCGGTGGTCGTCAGGCATCCCCTTTGCAGCGCGACCTGAGAAGACTCCATCAGAGCCCTCTTGTAAGACTCCAACTAAGAGTTCAGCTACAGGTTTGGACTTTTCTCTCTCTGCTTCTATGACAGACCCCTGTCTTCAAGTATGTCTTTCTTTTTGGGGATATGTCTTGATAGATTTACTGGGTTGAGAACAGATTAGAATCCTAGCCCACATTTCAGGGTTTCCCGTCTCCATTGTCCCTGGTGTTTGTTTCCTACCCTAACTTTCACTGAGCCAATATGAAACAAGTAACTGTAGGTTCCGTAAGAAGAGTTTGCTAGAAGAAAGGTCAAAGTAAAGGGAGAGCCCTAGGCCATTTTATCATTCAAACTTGCAGAAAACCAACAGTGCTCAGGGGATTGTGTGGTACTTTTGGGACGCACTTGAACAGCTCCTTTAAACTCTGGGAAGAGGACTATTACTTCTCTAAACAAAAGGCACTTTTCACCACCAGCCCTGTCTTCTCATGGCTGACCTCAGAAATATCCTTATGAAAACTCTATCACTTCTGGAGGTTCTCAAAATTTATTTAATCCAAGCCCATGTATCTGCCACGAGGATCAGGGCCCAGGCACACTCTCCCAAGTTAGGGTTAGGGTTAGGCTTGACATAGAGCGAAACTATGTTGACTTGCACCATTCTATTGCTGTGGCCTGCAGAGAGAGAGAGAGAGAGAGAGAAGATATAAGATGATGTCTTTTTCTCATAACCTCTCTTACAGAAAAAAGAAATGCTAGATCTCAGAAACTGTGGGCTGCCTGCACCCTGCAGCAAGAGCACTTCTACAGTAGCTCCAGTCCAAAACTAAGATAAACATCAGTGCAATCCTTCTTTAAACAGCCCTCGCTTTCACAATATAAAATGGGCTGTCTTTCTAACAGTAACTGGTGCTCACTAATTAGGAGATCTCTATGCTAATTGGTCACCCCTAAATAAGTTCTGACTAGTCTATTTGTAGTTATAAATCTGTATCTTTAAAAGATTATTATAGTTCAACGTAGCCAATACCATCTAAGAGGGCACTCTGACTTAAAAGTAATTGTTTTCTGTGTTTCTTGTTTGTCTATTTAAACCAATTAAGGCAACTTCGACTGCTTTGTTAAAGCTTTATGAGCTCATTTCAATTTCAATTTCTTTTTCATTTTTGCTTTTGCATACTTCTGGATCTTTTGGGCCTACACACACACACACACACACACACACACACACACACACACACAAACCTAGGATTTTTGGGGTGAAAAACTAAAAGTATAATATGGATAAAAATGTATAATTGATATTGTGTAATAGGAATAAAAGGTCTAAAAGAGAAATGGGAGGGATAGGGAAATGGTAAGAAGGGAAAATAAAAAATATGAGAAAAAGAAAAACCTGGAAACAATGTCTTTGTAAACAGGGAAGGGTGGAAGGGGTAAAGGGAGGGTAGGGGAATGGGGAAAAAAATAAGAACCAAGACAAGTCACGTAAAGGTACAAAATCCCAATGATGAATGTAACTGTATTGTATATCTAAAATGTACCAATAAACTTAACTAAAACAAACCACACACAAAGCTTGAGACATTACAAGATGAAGGCTAAGAGGCGGGAGGCTTACAGGGGATGTATAAATAAAAGCCTTCAAGTTTGATAACATAAAGGATATATATGATTTAGGTTAATAGATATGTTTCTGTGTATCAACTCTCAGATATAATATCCTCCAAAATTACTACCTAAATTGGCTTATAAATAATCAGATACTCATGATTGTAGCCCATATGTTTTTTAGTTCACATAACCTAATGGTGGGCTAATTTAAATCAGTTGGAAAGAGTAGAGACTAAAGATGTCTTGGTAACATGTTTCCATTCAGGCTGTTAACCAATTAAGACAAAAAGTTAAAAAAGGGTTTTCATAAATACATTGCTTTTTGTTTTCTATATACAAAAGCAAGCATTTTTCTTTGTTAAAAAATGACACATAACTTTTAAAAGGTGCTACTTTTATGATTTGTTTCTCATAAGTCATCTAAAATAATTGTTAAGACAAATGAGTGTGGAACCCTTGGGCTTTGAAAACACGCTGGTCATGACTTACAGCTGCTGCCTGAATCTATTTGTTCAGTTTTGTTCACTTATGAGACTTCCTGGCTTTTTTTCCAAAGTCTTGCAATGACATATCCCAACACATCTTATTAAATATATTATTATAATATATTTAAATTGGTTAAAATTAAAAGATTGGGTTCTCTATATCAAAACAAAACTTTCTTAAAATATTAAGAAGCTCTTTGTTAAATTTACAAAGATTTAAAAACAAAGGCTCTATGTTGTACTAAAATGGTTTCCTGTGTTTTCTATTGTTAAAATTTTGGTTATTAAAACTGAGTTTTAAAAGTGTAATTAAATGTTGGACTATAAAACATTTTCATAATCAATCAGTTTATGATTGGTTAAATAAACAACTATTTTCTTAGCTTATAGCATAATGTATATATCTAAAAACAAGCTGCAAATCCAAGCTTTAAAGTTTATAATGTTTAAACTATATGTTTAATATATACAAAGTAACTAACAGATGTTCTATTTTATATATATTCATCTAGATCTTAGACATATATAATGGTCAAAATTTGGCATCTCTCCTTACATTTGGTCCTGCTATGTAAAACTTCATCTACATCTGTCGACTTTAATTAAACAGTCATTTTGTTATTGTATAAATAAAGCACAGTTGTATATTGGGTAATAAAACAGCACTCTTTCCCAAACTTATAAGACCTTTAGTGATGTTTCTTAATTCATGTCAGTGTAGTTAAACCCTGTAAACCTGTTTAAAAAAAATCTAAATTCTCAAATGCTAAAACTTAGTCAATATGTGTAAGGATTTCTATATATAGCTATGATGGTAATTATTGCTAACTTCCAGTGTATTAAGTGCATTTTTGTTTGTCAAGTATACAGGCCATCAAAGATGCAAAGCTAAAAAAAAAACATCTTATGGTACTGGTGATTTCTGACTAAAGTTGGTGGTGGTAAAACTTTTTATGATTGTGTTATAACACCATGTGATTATAGTTGTGACATCTCCAGACATTTG